AAAGATTGAATCTGATCCAACGCTTGGTACATGTATACACACGTCATGATCGGATCATTTCATTTAGTGTCCATTTTGAATTTCCGATCAACCAAGGTTTGGATCGGATCGGGGAAATTTTGCGCATGTAAACGTAGCTATTGCCATCCTTCTTTTAACATAAGCAGCTATAATGCAAATCAAGGCTAAATCACGTGTTTTGACTCCATAAATAACCAAAATAGAAATAAAATCTCAGTGTCAGCGACATTTCAGAAAAATAAAAGCAAAATAGTGCAACACTCTGATGGCAGGCTGGGCCTTTAATGTCTAATGATAAAACACGTCAAAAAAACTTGTAACTAAAAAACTATAAATGACACTCCCCCATTGTATATGTCCACCTTAAAGGAGAAATCCAGTGAGTTTTCACATAGATCTGTTTCTCGGTATTGGAGAAATAAAAAACGCTGAAAACAATTGGTTTCACCTAGCTTGAGTTGCTACGGTCAGCAGCTAACACAGCCAGGCAGCTACAGTCACTCTAGGGGCGTGTTCATGAGCCTCCATCATGTTCATACACCCAGAGTGTAGCGCTCCCAGGCTGCGTTAGCTGCTGGCCGTAGCAACTCAAGCTAGGTGAAACCGTTTTTTTTTCGGGGGAGGGCGGGGGTACCGGCAGTACTCGTAACCTCGGGAAACGGAAATCTATGTGAAAACTCGCCGGATTTCTCCTTTAAGAGGTTTATTCTACAAACTTCTTGTTAAGTTTGAGCAGCAGTTGATTTTCACAGTTTGTTGCGCTCATCATTGCGTGNCTCAAGTACAAGTAAAATTACCCATCAGGAAAATTACTCAAGTAAAAGTAATAAGTAGCTAATTTAAAATGTATTTTAAGTAAAAGTTACTTAGTTACATTTAAAAACAAGACAAGGAGTCATAAATCCAAAATCCAAAACTATTTAGTTTTTAATTAAAGAAAAATCTATACAAATGTATACACATGTAATGACAAGATAACACACATCACACATGACATTTAAGACCCTTAGAAATGTATAATGTGCCATTTTAGTGCAGAACATCCCATAAAACGTTTTCAAACAATCAATTGAAGGTAAAAGTGCCATAAATTGTTGGTTCTGAGGGCCGCCCTTCTTTTCTTCAAACATTAACAACAGTTATTAATAAGCACTATACAAATGCAATAGCAACATAAAACACGCCACACATGACATTTAAGACCCTTATAAATGTATAATGTGCCATTTTAGTGCAGAACATCTCATAAAATGTTTTCAATGTTTCCACATCAATTGAAAGTGGAATTGCCATGAATTGCTCATTCTGATTAGCTACGTTTACATCAGTGCTTCTCAAATAGTGGGGCGGGCCCCTTCTTCGGGGCGCGGTGCGATACCTGGGGGGGCGCGTGTGACCCTGGGGAACAGGCTTTTTTTTTTTTGGCCGTACTAGTATAAAGTGTAATTGCGCATCCACTACAGTAGGCGGAAGTGGCGCTCTCATTGTTACTTCTATAACGTTTGCCACAGTGCAGCATTTTACGACTTACAAGACAACAGCTTTGCCTTGGTTGGCAGTGTTGAGTCAACAGAAAGCTCCGACTGCGTTCTGTCTATAGCCTCCGTTATTCAACATAACACCCAACATGAAAAAGTTTTTAACAGGGATGAAAAGAAAAGCGGAGAGAGACAAAGATAATGAGACAAAAGAAAGTCACCCGAAAGCTAAGACGAGGAAATACGATGAAGCGTATTTATTGCTTGGCTTCACTGTGATCACAGTTGGAGAAGAGGAAAGACCGGTGTGTTTGGTGTGTCTAAAAATGCTCGCAGCGGACAGCATGAAGCAAAATAAATTAGCGCGTCACTTAAATACGTTACACCCCAATCACGCCAATAAGCTGCTAGAGTTTTTTCAGCAAAACGTGCTGAATATATGCACAATATATCTTTCTTTTTTCTTTTCTTTAATGCTAATAAGGATAAAATGTTATGCAGAGATGGAAAGTCATGGTGGGGAGTAGGGGGCGCGAATAGTTTTCTTCTTGCTAGGGGGGGCGTAACAGAAAATAATTGAGAAGCACTGGTTTACATGGACACAACTAATCGGATTGAAGGCCTGATCAGATCAAAAATGTTTCATGTAAACATGTCACACTGAAGATTCTAATCCGATTCGGTCCGATCGGAAATAAATTTAATTCCGAAAGAGAGAGGTGGTTTTTGCCGATCGCCATTCTGATTGGCGTCCATGTAAACACCCATTCGGATCTTAAGAGTAAAATAATCTTCACTGCGCATGTGTGCGACGTCAGTGTGACGTTTTTCTGCCTTGTTAACAACAGGAAACCACCGGTCGCTCTCGCTCTTGTTGTGAACAACAT